GAGACCCCCGTACTGCGAGAACCGGATGCGAGATTTTTTTTAGAATAAAGATGATACTCGTTGCAGCAGCAGCAGCATTTGATAAAAATTTTAAATGTGTTTACGCATCGTGCGCAAATGCATATTAACCTTTACGCATCGTTCGTAAACCTCCTCCTTCTAATTGGAGAAGCATGAAAACGCGGTGAATGTGTCAGGAGGACAGAGGGACAAACAGTGGTTTCCGGAACAAAGAAAATTTGCACATGGAAAACGTATGCGCTCGCTAAATTTTACGCCTTCGCGCTAACGATGTAATTACATTAATAAGAGCGTTAAATGTGTGTCGAGATTGTATCGGTGCACCGTCTCGTATTTTCTTCCAACAAATTTTAAAATGCAAATAAACGCTTTATTTGCATTAAAAAAATATATATATACAAATATCGTTTACTTAATAATGCGGTAAAAAAATATCCTCTCCTCAGAAAACGCACAAGGTTAATCCAAAAATTTCAGTAAAATATAAATTGTTTTTTAGAGAATCTTATATGTATGCCAAATAACTCAATCTCGAAAGATATACAAGAAAGACAGATGGTATCTCTTAAATCGTTCATAAAAAATAAAAAGAAAAGAAAATACAAGCTAGACCCCCGAGAAAAATATCCGAAGGAATCTACAAGACGTCTTGTATAGCCGAATGCAGGGGCTAACAGAGATTTTTTTCGATGACGCTGAGGGAACACGAATGTAACCGAGCGCCGGTTTTTAGTGGCATCCTCTCGACGTTTCTCTGCCTCTTTAAATGCATGGTAGCGTGATTCCATGCAGTTGGCCTTGGAAGCTGCTAGAGCGTTCAGGCTCCTCCTCGCTCGGTGGCCCTGAGAAGGTGGCCACGGTCAAGGTTACAAGCATCCTCCCCGTTCCTTCTCTCTCCCTCGATCTCTGCTGCTGCTTCTTCTCGTCGAGACCAATGTTAGCAATCACGCGGGTACCACACATATACACACGCAACAAAACTTGAGAACGGATCCCCGTCGTGTTACTCGCGCGCGAGAAGCCTAAACTCGTCGTATCTTGGTGCATGTGCACTCGCCCCGAGCTATCGTTGCGGTCGGAACGAAAATGAAACTGAGCCACAAAATCCTGGACCGTCGTGATCGAACAATCCTAAATGTACGATTCAATAAACATAAGCGATTGTATGCACAATGACTTATTTATTTGTATTCTGTATTCAAGACTCCTGTCAAAAGTGATTTAATTATATTTTAATGTTAATAATACATAGAGAAAATTTTCTTTTAGAATTTACCCTGAATATATTAAATATTTACCACAATAAAAATATTAATATCTACCACAATAAGATATAAAATATGTTCGATTAATTTTACTATGTACATATTATTTTTTATTGTGATAAATATTAATCAGAGAAACTCTCATAAAATTCTCTCCGTCTATTAACATAATAATATTAGTATTAGATAGAAATAATTTAGAACAAAGGTTAATTGAATTTCACGAACTGTAAAAATATTCGAGATACTTTGAATTTAAATTAATTCTAAATTTAATATACTCTTGTCAAGCTTAGAGAGAGAGTGTGACAGTTCATTATTTAAAAAAAAACAAGCAAATGAGAATAAATAACAAAATCAAGACTGAAAACGTTCTGAAGAATTTCGGAAGAAAAAAAAACACACTTTTGAAGCTCTACTTTGCATTTGTCATGTTTGCTCGTACAAGCAGTCTTAACAAGATATCTCGCATTCGTCGCGAGCGAACTCTTAATCGAACAAACAGACAGCTGAGGTCAGAAGTCTGGAAAAATTCAACGCGTTCGACGACGAAGAAGGTCCACGAGGGTTCCCGACCCGTCGAACTGGAGGAACATAAACAGAAATAGGACAGGTTTCCAAGGCTGCCATCTATATATAGGATACACACCACACGGCCAGTGCGAGCGTACTATGGGTGGAGCGCGCTGTCGTAATCGTCGTGGTGCTCTCTCGTTGCCCTTCGTCTTCTCGCTCTCTACCGGAGGTCTAGAGCATATACACGACCCGACAATACACGTACATACATATATATATATACACATATATATGTATATCTATATACACTTCACAGCGAAGCGCGCCGCCGTGAAGAAAACGGACCGGCGTTCATTCATGTCCTCTTGAACGTCCGTCTCTAAAGTCGCTTTACGACACACAGGCGGACGCGAACGATCGACTTCGTTTTCTCTGACGAGATACCGCCCTCATTATTTCTTTCGTATGGCATACACGTCAACGACGTAATCATTGCGTTGAAAAAAATGTTAATTTGAGCATTTGCCGCGCGCCAAAAGCAATGCCGAGATACTATATAAAAAGAATCTACGCTTGATAAAATCTAAATATTTTATATTTAATTTATATATTTTGTGTATTTTATTAATTTGATAGGTATTTCGAATTATTGCACGCTTCTCTTTTATTATCAAATTTTGACAGAATAGCTAGAAAGAAATTATCTAGAAAATAAAATTTGATTTGTAAAAAATTGAAGATTTTAGTATCAATGTACAAAGCATGCATATCAATGCAATTCTTATAACGTATACATCTTGTGTATTTTATTGTTAGTAATAAAATCTTAAATCTATGACAAATTTTTTGATAATTCAATAGGTATGTCTCCAAAATTAATTAAATAATAATGTACACATCGATAATTTTCTCTGAAAATTTACCTTAAAAATTATGAATCGTGCGATAATATGGTATTGGAAAAATTTTATAAATTTCTCTGATTAATATTACCACAATAAAAAATATTAACATATACATACTACACTAAGATATAAATATGTTATTGGAATTATGCACATATTAATACTTTTTATTGCGATATTAATCAGAAAAATTCTTATAAGATTCATATTTACGATTATCATAAATTCTAAGAGAAAATTCTCCGTATGTATATATATAAATTAAATAAAAAATAGAAATATAAAAGATTTTGATCATAGATTTTTTTACTCGTACTTACATACGATATATACAGATTATTATATGTACGAACTCTTTCGAAGAAACCAAGTTTCGATTAATTTTGAATAATTTGCATTCTTTATATAAACTCTGCCGCTTCCCGCAAACTTTCTATCCGCAATAAGATTCTTTTTGCTCCGAGATGTGTATATGCTCTCGAAAAATGCCACGATCCTCGGGCGCATATTTCAGAACTTCGATGAGTGCACAAACCGGTTCTGCGCCCCTTTTTTACGAAACCAGCGAGCAACGATTAATATTAAAAGTCAGTAGAGCGAATTAACCAGGCGATCGGGAGCGCTGTCGAAACTTGCGCAAAAGTTTGGCGTCGCGTTTCTGCGGCCTCCTCGAAAAATCGTCGGTGTCGAATTTCACGGGGCAACGAATCGGAATGGATTCGCCTCGAAGAGAGAAAAAAAAAAGCAGAGCACATTGCCGTATTTCATAATCTCGCGAGATATCTTGTTAGCGCACCACATTCATCGTTTCTCGAAAAATCCACGGTGTCGAGTTCCACGAAGCGACTCGGATTCAATTTATTTTTCAGCCAAGTATTATCGTTTCTCTCTCGTCTCGTGATCTCGCGAAATATCTTTCAGCGAATATAATCGAGCGAATGTCAACGGCGATACAGAATTTCGGTCGGGACTCTTTAACCTCCGCGTTTTTCGTCTCTTTAAAGCTTCCGCCTTAAATCTTCGTCGTCATTTGGACACCATCTGCCGCAACAAAAACCGCGCGGTACGTTTTTTTTTATCTAAATATTTGGAGATCATAAAACGCGGTAAGCGACAAACACATAAAGGAAACGGTTGGATTAACTGTGTTTCGGTGGGATGCGGTTATGTAAGAGAGAACAGAGTAGCAAGCTGTGAAGTAAAATCCAGTTTTGCTGCTTATATACATGTATTTGAGAGTGGGATGTGATTTATTCTACGTTCCGCTTAATACTATATATATGCATATTTATTCATAGATAGAAAATATTCCGAAGTTCTTGAATCAGAGATTATCGATTAGAGATTTATATAAAGAAGTTGCGTGAGAGAACTTGGTCCGAAGTTGAAAAAAATAAGAAAAAGAAACGTTTATCTTCGGAAGAAAAAAATATTTTACCTTCGATTCTTCTTTACACAGCCACGCCCAGTTTTTACGTCATAAGCACTGATATATTGCAATGAATATTTCGCGTACGTATTTTAAATTCCAATCTTTCTCTCTCTCTCTCTCTCTACATAGTTTTGCTTTTGCCGTGTTTTTCTTTTTTCTACATCGCGACGAAAGTCCCGAGCGTCTTTACGATTTTCATACTCGCGCGTCTGCTTTAAGGTGTCGTCTTCCCCGGAAGATATACCCGCACAACGACACACGCGACGAAGGAAAACGACTCCCGACACGGCCCTTGTCATTTATCATTCTTATCCGAAGATTCAGTTTCTCTTTTTATAGCGAGATTCCTTTCGAGGATTTGCATGAAACGAGTTTCGATGCATCCTCTCTCGTTATCTCGCAACGCAGAATTTTCGCCGAGGAATAATATATCCGCAGGCTCTTTATTCCAAATCCTCCCAATAGCTTCTATATTATCAATTCAAGAGTCGAAGAGTGCATAGAGTCAAAGACCATCTCGGTCAACAAAATATCCAAGTAATTTTAAATTAAACTCGAGCTTTTTTTAAATAATCAAATCACAGTTGTTATCGATTTTATTTAAAAAAAAAAAAAAAATTCCTAATAGTTTTCCTATCGCGCGCCGAGCCTTCATAAAATGAAATTCCATCCGTAAATATTACGTAAATATTATCAAAGCAAAACAAAAAATATCGCGCACTTCTGATTCATGCGAAACGCGATAAGGCGATTGAAAAAATCGCAAGTGTCATACATACATATATCCAAGGAAAAAGAATGAATCCCATGAATCGCTCGGTTATCATCGGCGCAAAAAAAAAAACGATAAGCGGGACTCACCGTGCGCGATCGCTGAAAAAGTCGACCTTGCTCTTCTTCTTCATGATGGCCTGCGGCTGGTGGAGCGGGCTGACGCTGGGCTCGCTGGTCGCGGGCGGCGAGCTGGATCCGGTGCTGGACGACAAGGAACCAGCCCTGCCGCGGCTCGTCTCGATCATCTGTGCCTCGCTGGTGCCGCGGCCGTTCGCGGCGACGACGTGGTTCCCGTGATTCGGCGGACCGGCCGACACGGCGAGGCTCGGCCGGGTGTTCTGCCGGTTGCGGCGCTTCTTCTTCTTCGCCTCGTTCTCGTCCGGCCGATTCCCGGGCACGTTGCCGAAGCCGGGCGGCAGCCAGTCGAGGTCCTTCTTCAGGTGGCCACGGCCGCAGCGGCAGCCGCAGGCCTTGAACGCGAGGTCGTAGCCCTTCTTGGTCCAGAGATTCTGGTGACGTTGACGTTCGGACCAGCTGCGGGCGCGGCCGCAGCTCTTCAGATACGTGAGTACCGTCTGCTCCCAGGCGTCGAAGCACTCGCGATGCATGAACTGGCCGACCGGGCAGTTGTCGTTGTTACAAGTGACCTTGACCGCGTCGTGGAGGGCGGTCAGGCGAATGAGAGTGTCGCCGCGGAGACACTCGCCGGTCGGCGTGCAGCAGCGCGTCGTCTGCGTCGGGTTGTTGTTATTCCCCAGAAGATGATTCTCCATGGGATCGTGGATGCCACCCCCGGCACCTGCCCCGTTCTCCAGGAGGCCGCCGCCCCCGTGGCCGCCGTTGGCGTGACGCCGCGGTGCCATGGATGCCCGGATTTTGCCCTCAAGGTCGTGTCCTCTTGCACACTCCAGGTGTTCTGCGAACTGCGTCGTTTCTTCGTTCGAAGGTCGTCGCTGGATGTCACGGATGATCGGTCCTCCTTATCTCGTCATTTTCGATCGCCACATCTCACGCGACACAATCACGGACAAGGAAGCCGCGAGAACGGCGAAAGAAAATCGATCGACGAAAATCAAAAGGCGCCGCCTACCCGCTAGAGTCAAGGTCATTCGTTGTTGCGCGTCACAACACAAAACTCGGGAAACCGCATCCGAGTCAAGGTCACTGCGTATCAGAGAAGAGGTAAAAAGAAAAAAAAAGACACCGAAAAGAGTCGCGAGTTCCGACCGGCCTGAATTACGTCGCACTTGGTTTACCCGCGAGGTATCACTGCGCGTCCACTTACTACGTCACTACTGTTCCTCCGCGATTTCTCGTTCGTACGTTGGTACATACGTACCACCTTCGTTTCGTTTCGTTCGTTTCGTTTTCACTCCCGTCGACTTGGCATAACACAGGACGCGACGATGTTGCTCCTGCGCGCACGAGACGACGAATGTGTCTCGGCTGCCGGCCTCTCGAATGTCAGGGTCACCGGCGCCGGTACGCGTCGCCGGCGTGCGACGCAATTTCCGACCAAGTTGGGGCTGCGCGCGCGCGCGCACCACGACGAACCGCCGCGACGATTCAAAACGTAAGTACACTCGGCAAACGACGTGAATATGACAAAACGGTCTATGAGAAAAAGAACGCGCACGACGTACGTTTTCACCCAGCACACCCTGGTCTTCTGTTCCTTTTTTTTTTCTCTCTTTCTCGCTGCTCTCCCGAGACGAGACGGACGACGCTCAAAACGCTCGCTCGCACGTATGGTATACCAGTCACTGAGAGAAGCCGGCGACGACAGCGTGCTGGCTGCCGTGGCGCCGAACGCGGGCGAGCGCGAAAGTGAGGCCCCATTGGGTGAAAGCGAAAGCACCATGGTGGGGGTCACGGCTAGCGCGCCAATCGATGCGCGCCGTAGTCGCGTCGCTGCTGCTCCGCGGTCGCGACGCCTCTCTGTCTCTTTCGCGTACACACTGCCGCTCCCTGCTGAAGCTCGCGCGCTTTCTCTCTCTCTCTCTCTCGGGATCCGCCGTCTCCTTCTATCCGCCGCGGCGCGCGCGACGCGACGATACCTCGTTGAGTCTATCCTCTTCTGTCTTCCTCGTTCCGCGTTCTCTTCCTCCTTCGTACGCGCGCGTTTACTTTTCGAACCCGGCCGGCCGAGCGGCGAAATATAATTCGAGATTGTTGCGTGTATAATCGCGTATGTGTGTGTGTGTGGGTCTGCGCCCCGGCGAATTTTGCGAGAATCGTACGAAGGTAAGCTACGCCAGAATTTGTGCCTCGTATTTGTTTCGTGTTTTGTACTCACTGATTCGTGCACAGCTATTGCATTGTATAGATACGAAGTAATACATCGCGAGAGTGGTTTTCTTTCGCCACGAATTATCGAGTTGGTAGATCTAGTTTCTTTTCGAAATTTAAGAGATGTGCTACTATCTTATATCACGAGCAATTTTCATGGAGTAAAAAATTGTATCGTAACCTCGCTTCTATGTGATTATTGACCATAGACTATAATCGATAATCGATACTATCGATAGTTTCGAGGTGTAGATACTAACAGTTTTCAATTCATAGGAAACGCCAAATAACGTAGCGAGTATCATAAGGGTTAAATGTATCAATATTGACGATTATAAGAATATTACTGTTGAGTAAGTATGTCAAAAAGTCTATATCAATATAATATACCACTTTATTATATATTAACCTCAAATATTCTAGTTCAAAATAAGCTGATTCAATTACTTAGTAATGTCAAGTTTAACCTATATTTATTTGTTTTTCCAAATAGCTTATATTTTGATTATTACGTTAAAGTTAGACTCTTTGAACATGTTTCGTAAAAAACTTTTCCAACTTTATTCACATATTCTTTTAATATTGACTTTAAATCTCTGTGTGCTTCTTCTTGCCACACAACGTAATCTCGCAATATAAAATTCAGTAATTCAACTTTAATATATTTTCAATTTTTATCATAAAGAAAAAATTGTTCGACTCGATCTTTTTAAATATAATGCAAACTGAACAAAAATGATCATACTTAACAAATGTTGCATCTCTTTAAAATTAATATATATACAAATTAATATAGATATATATTATGTGTGATGTCTTTTAATCTAATTATAATCATGATTTACGACAGTTGTTGACATTATTTTATGTTTCCTCGGTTTTCCACTGTATCATTTTCATTATCAATATATGATGTAATGTAACCGCAGCTCTTAAGCTCGGGTGTACGTGAACAATTTCACGTCCTTCGCTCCGACGAATGATTCACGACGGACGCGTTAACAGAAATTACAAGTAATAGTTTCCACTAAAACATCTATAGAAGGCCGTTTTTTTCCCTGCTACATATCTACGTGCCATTAAATCCTGCGAAATGTACGTCGTAAATCCGCGAAATGCCATGACCATGGGTATCTATGAGATCGTACTATACTATGCAAAAAATGAAATGGTCATGTTTAAAGCCGAAAAAAATCAGTCGACGAGATTTAAATGAAAGCCATAAAAACACTTTTCACGACACGTTTTTGATGTTAAAAAAATATTATCTCTTTCAATAAATTTCACTATAAAATTATCAAATGATTTATAATACACCATTTTCTCGTATATTTTCGTAATTATTTTAAATTTTACAAAATGACCCAAGTATTTTATTATTACAGATTTCATGCCTACAACTTCGACTAGATTTGGATACGCAGTTTTCAACAATTATGGTGCATTCACGATTGTGACAGAGATATTTATGCACAGGAAATTGCAGCTCATATCCAAGTAAGTCTCGACAAAACTGTCCCGCCTATTTATTCAGGCAAAATCTTTTCCACGAGAATTTTGATTTATGCTAATTGCATACTTATTATAGAAACAACTTGCATAAGACATTGGTATGATTAGACAGGTAAACCAAGTATCTCGATGCAAATAGTTTAGACTAAATTTCTATTAAATTCATTTCTCGAATTATTAACGAGAATCTCTCTTCGATTCTGAAAATTTAAAGCCGAGGACATTAAAAATAATATCTGATTAATAAAGTCAATATCTTACATTTTATTTTTATTTGATAGTTATACAACTATGACAACAACTAGACACAAATATAGAATGAAATAAATAAAATGTGTATCACATATAGTGATAAAATATATTTGTTTTCAAGATACCAATGTTATATCTAATATTTGTCGAGAAATTTTTATATCTACAAATATGCTATTAAAGCAATTTATCGATGATAAATCGAAGGAGCGTTTTATTCGTCATTTCTTGATTCACTCTTGCGGACTTGTGTTATCGCAAGTGTCAGCGGAAAGAATTGCACAAACAACGTTCTGATTTAACATGTAAATGTTACGAATTATCGAACATTCGACTTATCTATAAAAGAGAGCAATATTAACAGTAAAGATTTTTTTAATTATTATTTTGTGCTGAATAACATATTTGTAATCGCATATAAAGTGTATGTGGCAGCGAGTTTTCTTTTCAATAACTGATATTTTGTCCAACGTATTGATATTTTTATTTTAATCAAAAAATTATATGCTGGATAACAGCATAAGGTTCCACAAATTCTGCTCTTCCCAAGTTATTTTCTAAATGAAATTATTATATATGTACACTGAAAAAAATATTTATGTAAAATTACATGATTATGCTAGATTTTTTTCCGATCCAGCATAATCATACAATATTGCTACTTATATAGAAGATTACAGATTATATGTAATTTTATATGAAATATATTCTTAAATATTTTCAAGATTAAAAATATTTCACTAAACATGGAATTACACATAGGAAATGCTAGTAATGTACATAAGTGCTAGAAAATGTTATAAAAAAATTAGATAAATACTTATAAAATAAAGTTCTAATAAAGTAAAAGTAGTAAATTTAAAATTACATATGATTTTTGTATAAAAATAGTAATTTTATCTATATTTTACATGTATTTTTTACACATTAATATGTATTTTAAGCAAATAATTTTTCAATTCTGAACAAATAATTTCCATGTAAAAATACATGGATTTTTGTCAGTGTAGATTGTGTAATATTAATAACAAGAATGCAACTGAAGAAAGAGCTGATATTTATAAAAGATATATATGTTTTTTTATTCTAATCAAAAATTAATTACCTTTAGAGATAAATAATTTTTTTTTTATTATATTTGATATCATCATATCTTATTATATAATAGCGAGATAATATTTAATAAAATTTGTAAACAAAAATAATTTATACACGCAAAATATATTTTATCGCATTATTATATATGTGGTTATTTAAAATTTTATAAAATTTCGAAACTTAAAGTTTATTTTACACATCTGCTTTATTTACGTTTGTGACTTATCAATTACATATATATATGTATATGTTTCACACACAATTACATATAAATCGTGCAAAGTTTGTTCAAATACAACGCTAAATAGTATTCTTTATAGCATTCCCACATAGTTCAGTCATATGGAATAAATCGTAAAAAGAGAGTTGATTCTATTTGCCCGAATATAGCCTCGCGTGTTTTGGACCGAACTACGCATCGAATCGGCTTCACAACGGTAAAGCGAAACGAGATACGTATTAGATTACGTTGCATAATTTTATCGGCGATCGTAAAGCTGTTAGGAAACTTGATACCGCCCAATTCACATGCGACATGAATCCATAAATTGCGGATGTTGATAAAAATAGCGCATAAAAATTGCCGATACTAAAATCATAAAACGGTGAAAATTTATGCTGCCCTAACATCGCGATCATTTTCCAAAATATTTGCGCGATTATAAATTGAATCAATCTGTCAAAATCGTCTTTGTGATGTCACTTTTTCAGCGACTATAATAATAATTGAATTGTTTATTCAAAATTACTATTTATTCTATATTATTATCATCTAAAGTTATAGTTATATTTATTTGAAATTCGTTTCCAATAGAGAGATTAGTACGAAATAATGCGTCAAATTTTATCACGATTTATCCAGACGGAACCCTATCAAATTTACGTTTGACAAATCTATTCGACACATTGCGAAGATATTTTTCAAGGGCGCAGACAAACAATCGGATTCGTGAACGGCAGATGAATATGTCGAATCACGACGAGAATATTCCGTTCACGCGTGAATTTTCCTGCAATAAATATCCCGGTATAACGATAAATAACAAAAGCCGGGAATAAACTATATATCACACTCGAGCACATTGTACGTGACGTCAGAGAGACGAATTTGATTCGCCGGCACGGTGGAGACTCGCCATTTGTATCGGCTCGTGTAAATATTGTACAAGAGCTGAGTGAGTCCCGGCGCGGCGGAAATCCAGGTCAGTTGGTTCCCGAATTTCGCCCGGTCGATGGTTAGACGCGAGGGAACCAACCGTTTCACCGCTGCCTACGGGGTACCCGAGAAAGGATAATCCAGCGTTCTCTCGAGAGGGCTCCCCGTGAAAAAGCTGTTTTGATCGGTTCAGGTTTCTAGGATGGTGACCGTGAATGAAGGCTTTAAGCCGGTACATACGAACGCTATACATCATAGGGAAGAGCGGAACCAGAGAGGGAGGCGGACGAGTTTGCGTATATATATAAAGACGAGTTCGGATATATATATAAGGAACCAGATGTCACGCTGAAAAGAACACGCGTATCCCTCCCATTCGCGCATTAAGAAGTACCCGGAGTGCGCTATTAAAAATCCGCCCTTCTTCGAGGGTGAGTCGGAAGAAGTAGGACGGTATAGGAAAACCGTGACAATTTCGCCGGCTTTCTCCTTTCTCCTACTCGTGACGATAAAAAAAATATTCGCGTTTGTGCATGATACAACAAAAATACTGCGTGCATGTCGATTTGAATACTCCTCTCTGTCGACTTTGTCGCAGTTGCAAATTCGAGCGATAAAATTGTAATGTTTGAACCTCGCTCGAAAGTTGCTAGTCATAGACGACGCATAGGTAGAGGAAGACGTGCAGATATACGATAATGCATGTTAAATGTCACGTCGGTCGCGAGTGTACACATAAATTAGGGAAGCGCGTTAACTACTCGCGGTAGCGAAAGTCGCGAGCGATGCTCACAAATTCTCAACAATATAAAATCAAATACATAGAGAGAAAACAAAGGGCACGAGGCTCTTCCATTATCGAATTATAACATTGCATTAACATCTATTCTCATCGCAGAAATGCAATAAAGTGCGTAATCCAAGTCGTCATTGTTATACACTAACTGTACCGTATGCATATTCATTTTTTATCCTTCCACCTTTTCCCCCTCGTACACGCGTGTCCTGGAGGACGAGGATGGATTTTCCTGGGAGCCTCGCTTGCAGCTACGCGATGGAACGAACCGCGTTGGGGGGTTAGCTGGCTCTGGGGTGGAGAGGATGGAGGAAAAGCAACGAGGGGAGAGTGGCGCCCAGTTAGAGCTTGGAGTTTGAAGGTTAGGGGCACCGGGTTGATCGGGTTGGGGTGCCGGCGAAGAGAGAGAGAGAGAGAGATGGAGAACGAGAGAAGAAGAAGAGCGGGGGTGTAGGTCTAGGTTCAGGGGCGGCATTGCCCCGGGTGGGCGTGCACTTTCGGTTTCACTTTCGGTTGCGCATGCTCGTTGATCTCGCAGGCCACCGGGATGCCTACTGCAGGGGTCGTATGCGTCTCTCTCCTCCTCCCTCTTTTCCCCTCTCGCGAAGCTTTTACCCCGTGTAAAACCCACCACCATACTACCCCCGTTTCCACTGCCAGCAGCGGCGGCTTCACCACCACCATCACCACCCCCCGTCGACCATCACCATTACCACCGTTACCGGGCCACCATCGTGTTCTACCCCATGCCCGCGCCCGTGTCCCGGCTACGTCGGGATTGGAAATTACAGGGCGCGTCGTCACTCGCCGGAGAGAGAGAGAATGCGACGCGCTCTGCTCTCCTTCCCGGATTTCAACCCTAAAACCATCCACGCGAACGTTCTACTTTCCGCGTTCGACATGAACGGGCCCCTTGAAAGCCGCTCGCCGAGCTGTCCCGCCCTCCCATGGTCGGATTCATTCGCTCCTCTACGATCGATACCGCTATCTACCTAAATAAGGCGTCATAATCATCCTCGTGTTGTAACTGCGATGCGTCATGACGTATCGAATGGCCCACTGACAACGAATGGTCTTTAAACATGTCGGCTGCTAGCCGCCATGCTCTTCGAAAAATAGACGCTAACATCGCTCGACCATCTTTAAAGATCTTTAACTCGTGAAATAGTCTACGTGTTTTCATCAAAAATAATGGTATGAATATTAAATCAATTTTCAATCGCACTAGGAATTCTTGTAATAGAATGCGACATTTTGAAAATTCATGGGTTTCAATGTTGATTTTTAATACTTGCAATAAGTTGCGACAGGAAATAAGCGAAGTCGATGATAATGGACTACGCGAAGTACACAATGTTGCTACTTCCTTCGAACAAGAAAAACGACTTAGCCAATGTATTTTTATACTTCTATCATTCCTCTTAAAGCGCGCTCAAAGTTGTATTCTATGTGTGTCATATAAATAAAAATCATCAAACAAATTGTGAAAAAATTTGCTTCCATAAAGCAATCGAATTTAAGCGAAATATGTAAAAATTGCCATATATATCTTAGTACAAAAAGCTTTAATTATGATTATCCTTTAATAAAATTGCGTTACAGGGATAAATTGTATAAAAAATTTATCTGGATTAAATATTATTATCTCTCTTGAGAAAAATTATTTGTTTACAAAGATAAGTC